ACAAAAATTGATTATTATTATTTTATGACCTGACCTGACCTGACCTGACTTACCAGGATTTTGATCTCGTCTCAACCTCACTAGTTCGGGTGGGGAGAGGGGGAGGTGATGAGGGGGAGGCAGGAGGAGGGAAGGAGGAAGAAAGACGGAAGGAAGGAGGAAGGAGAAGAATCGTGAAGCATAAATGAATTATTCTCATTTCTCTAAGGTGGTGTGTGTGTGTGTGTGTGTGTGTTTGGGTTCTACTGCTGCACCCACAGACAGGAAGGCGCCCATAAATGTAAGAAAGTGCCAGGTAGGTCAAGTCAGGCACTTACCTAGAACGACTGGTGCCAGATAAAAGTGTCGGCTCTGGCGGAGAGTGCCTGCAAGTGTCAACTAGGTGGCAGGTGTCGAGTGTCAGGTGTCAGCTTGTGTGTCAGATGAGGTACTGATTGTGGTCGGGGAACAATTGTTTGCTGTTGCTGGAGGTAAAAGAAGAAGAGAGAGAGAGAGAGAGAGAGACTCGTCGAAAAATTACAATGACGGACAGACAGATAGACAGACGGACGCCAGGTGTACCACCAGCCCTGTGTGAGGTCATAATAACTCAATATCCATCGGGTAATATTTACGACCGCACCAGGCGCCTTCCTCATGACGCTACCATGAATACTTTTTTCTCTCTCTCTCTCTCTCTCTCTCATAATATAACCATTACATTATAAATACAAATAGATATACACACAATATAAACAAACACCTACACACACACACACACACACACACACACACACACACACACACACGTTCTTAATTTAATCTCGTCTACCTTTGCAACAATAACAATATATCATAATGTTGCTTCCCTGACTCACGCTGTGTCCATTTCTTCTTCAGGTAACATTTTGCATACTGGTGATAAGGGGTAAGGAGGGGGGTGAGGGGGGTGAGGAGGGTGTGAGAGGGGGTGGAGAGGGGTTAGGTCTAATTGTAAGTCAGATAGGACAGTGTATCATTCATTGAGGTATCCATCAACACAGCCCCCCCCATCCTCCATCACCACCCCTCCCCCACCCACACAGCCCCCCCTACACACCCCCATCCCCCCATCCACCCACCCCTCCCCACCAGCCATCCCCCACCCACAGCCCCCCCACCCACAGCCACCCTCTCCACCCCTCTCACTTAACACTGTAAAGGTACCAGGAGCCACAACTCAGAATTCATATAGTTTACCCTTATAAGTGGAGGTCAATAGAAAACTAGGTGAATATATATCTTGTGTATAAGAGAAGGTAACATATAGTGAGAGGTGATATATGTTAAGGAGTTAAAGGTTGGAGGTTGGGTGGGTTGCAGGTTAGGTGGGATGAGTTAGTTCCGTTAGGGTGAGGTTAGGTTAGGTTGAGTTAGGTTGATGGATTAGGTTAAGTTGGGTAGGGGTTGTTAGGATATGAGTAGAGTTAGGTTAGGTTAGGAGGTTGAGTTGGGGTATTTAGGGTGAATGAGTTAGGATTAGGTGAGGTCAGGGTTCTGATTTAGGTTAGTTGATTACAGGTTGGTTGGGTTAGGATATTGCAGGCAGGTTAGGTTAGGTTAGTTAGTTAGGTTGAGTTAATGTTGAATTAATATTATATTAGTTAAATATATATCAACATACATTTAACAGGATTAGATTAGGTTAGGTTAGGTTAACATTACCATAGAATAAATCAAACAAGAATTAGGTTAGACACGAGCCAATTAGAACTGGTCCTTCATCCACACACTACTATTCACAAGCTCACCCCATGAAAACAGTTAAGTATGAGATGAAATGGGGAGTGGGTGATGGTTGAGGGTGGTTCAGGATTACCAATGGGGGGCAACCTACCTTCTCTCTAGGAAGAGGTAATAGGTACGGGTAGGAGAGTCACCTTCACCTTTATAACCTTTAAATCACCTACCTAACCCATATGTTCACTGGGGCGTCCTTACTGTATGTGTGTGTGTATGTATGTATGTATGGCTGTATGTATGTTTGTATGTATGTATATGTATGGCTGTATGTATGTATGTATGTATGTATGTATATATATACTGTATGTATGCATGTATGTATGTATGTATGTATGTATGTATGTATGTATATGTATGTATGTATGTATGTTGTCTGTATGTATGTATGTATGTATGTATGTATGTCACACTACTATAAATCAATGGAACACCTGTATTCACCTGTATCTGGCAACACTGTAAAGGCGTGTGTGTGTGTGTGTGTGTGTGTGTGTGTGTGTGTGTGTGTTGGTATGTCTGGTCAGAGAGAGAATCCACTCGTACGCGGGCATAACACACAGTGATTGGTCCACATATAATACCATTCTATTTCTATTCTTAACCTATCCTCTCCCATCTTTCTATCCTTCTATCATCTATCTACCCTATCATCCCTCCCTCTATCCTCCTTCTGTCATCGATCTACCCTATCATCCTCTCCCATCTTTCTATCCTTCTGTCATCTATCTACCCTATCATCCCTCCCTCTATCCTCCTTCTATCCTAATATCCTCCCCCCTTATCCTGGACTATCCTCTTATCATATTAAGTATCCTTATCTCAGAGGTCAGTAAGTCACTCTGGACCTGAACTTCTACAACATGAGCTGACTGAACTACAACATGAGCGACTGGGATGAACTGACCGGGACACACAACATGAGCTGACTGGGACCACTACAACATGAGCTGACTGGGACCACTACAACATGAGCTGACTACCCACTACAACATGGGCTGACTAGGACCACAACAACATGGGTTGACTGGGATCACTACAACATGAGTGACTGGGAAATACAACATAAGCTGACTGGGACCACTACAACAATAGCTGACTGGGACCACTCCAACATGAGCTGACTGGGACCACTACAACATGAGCTGACTGGGACCACTACAATATATAGCTGACTGGGACCACTACAACATGAGTTGACTGGACCACTACAACATGAGCTGACTGGGACCACCCACAACATGAGCTGACTGGGACCACTACACAATATAGACTGACTTGGACACTACAACATGAGCTGACTGGAACCCAACTACAACATGAGCTGACTGGACCACTACAACATGAGCTGACTGGGACCACTACACAACATGAGCTGACTGGGACCACTACAACATACTGACTCAGCAGACCACTACAACATGAGCTGACTGGGACCACAACAACATGAGCTGGCTGGGCCACTACAACATGAGCTGACTGGGGCCTAACAACATGAGCTGACTGGGACCACTACAACATGAGCTAGCTGGGACCACTACAACATGAGCTGACTGGGACCACAACAACATGAGCTGACTGGGACCACTACAACATGAGCTGACTGGGACCACAACAACATGAGCTGGCTGGACCACTACAACATGACTGACTGGGACCACTACAACATGAGCTGACTGGGACCACTACAACGTGAGTTGATTGGGACCACTACAACATGAGCTGCTGGGGCCCACAACAACATGAGCTGATTGGGACCACTACAACATGAGTTGACTGGGACCACTACAACATGAGCTGACAGACCACAACAAACATCGAGCTGACTGGGACCACTACAACATGAGCTGACTGGGACCACTACCAATATTTGCTCAGACTACTGCATGAGCTGACTGGGACCACTACAACATGAGCTGACTGGGACCACACAACATGAGCCGACTGGGACCACTACAACATGAGCTGCTGGAGACCCACAACAACATAAGCGACTACAGGACCACAACAACATGAGCTCCGATTAGGGACCACTACAACATGAGCTGACTGGGACCACTACAACATACAGGCTGATTGGGAACCTACAACATGAAGCTGACTGGAGCCACAACATGGCATGGCTGACGGGACCACTACAACATGAGCTGACTGCAACCACTACAACGGAGTTGACTGGGACCACCAACATGAGCTGACTGGGACCACTACACAGGCGAGCTGGGACCCACTACAACGTGAGGTGTTGGGACCACTACAACATGAGTTGACTGGGACCACTACATGAGCTGACTGGGACCACTACAACAGTGAGTTGACTGGGACCACTACAACATGAGTTGACTGGGACCACTACAACATGAGCTGACTGGGACCACTACAACATGAGCTGACTGGGACCAATACAACATGAGCTGATTGGGACCACAACAACATGAGCTGATTGTGACCACAACAACATCAGCTATCCAGAACTACAACATCAAGACCACAACAACAGGAGGTCACCAGTTGTTTGTTTACATCTCGAGCGTGTGTGAGTAAACAAAGGAACGGCCGTAAACACGACACCTCTTGTACGATCGTGTCTGGACGTGTCTGGCCTGGAACACGAACATGATAATCAAATGAGAGTCTGTTTCTTGCTCTTGTTGTTGTTGTTGTTGTTGTCGTTTGTTGTTGTTGTTGTTTGTTGTTGTTTGTTGTTGTTGTTGTTGTTGTTTTTTGTTATTGTTGTTGCTTGTTATTATTATTATTATGAGAGGAGGAGGAAAAGAAGTAGTGAAGGAGGGAAATCATGGAGGAGATGAGGAGGAAGGAGAGACATTGAAGTAAGGGAGAGAAGAGGAAGATGGGAAGGAGAATGAGGAGGAAGGAGAAGGGGGAAGAAGTTGAAGAATCAATGGAGGAGAGGAGGAAGAAGAAGAAGGGGAGGAGGAGGAGGAGGAGAGAAAGAATGGAGTGGACAGGAAGAACAATAAGAATAATATAGAGACATTATCCTGAACGAACCAATTAGCGTACAGGTGTGTGTACCAAGGTGAATGTACACACACACACACACACACACACACCTGCTGTCTGGCATAAATAACGAGTCCATTATATAGTGTGTGTGTGTGTGTGTGTGTGTGTGTGTGAATATAGAGCAACAACCACATGTATACATAAACGTTTCTTGTAAGTATAAAGAAACAGACACGTGTGCCTTAATATACAACAACCATAATATAAGTGTGTACCTAAATCTGATGTTGTAGGTTGTAGCTCTCTGGTTGTAGCTCTCTGGTTGTGGCTCTCTGGTTGGCTCTCTGGTTGTAGCCTCTGGCTGTAGCTCTGTTTGTAGCTCTCTGGTTGTGCTCCTCTGGTGTGGCTCTCTTGGTTGTAGCCTCTCTGGTTGTGGCTCTCTGGTTGTGGCTCCTGGTTGTGGCTCTCTGGTTGTAGCTCTCTGGTTGTGGCTCTCTGGTTGTGGCTCTCTGGTTGTAGCCTCTGGTTTTGGCTCTCTGGTTGTAGCCTCTGGTTGTAGCCTCTGGTTGAGGCTCTTTGGTGTAGCCTCTGCTGTGGCCTCTGGTTGTAGCTCTCTGGTTTGTAGCCCTCTGGTTTTAGCCTCTGGTTTAGCCTCTGTTTGTAGCTCTAGTTGTGGCTCTCTGGCGAGCTCTCTAGTTTGGCCTCTCTGCTTCCTGGTAGCTCTCTGGTTGTAGCCTCTGTTTGTAGCTCTCTGGTTGTGGCTCTCTGGTTGTAGCTCTCTGGTTGCTGCCTCTCTGGTTGTAGCTCTCTGGTTGTAGCCTCTGGTTGTGGCCTCTGGTTGTGGCTCTCTGGTGCCCAGCTCTCTCTGGCTGCTCTCTGGTTGTGGCTCTCTGGCTGTAGCTCTCTGGTTGTGGCTCTGCTTGCTAGCCTCTGGCTGTAGCCCCTGGATGTGGCCTCTGGTTGTGGCTCTCTGGTGTGGCTCTCTGTGGCTGTAGCCTCTGGTTGTGGCTCTCTGGCTGTGGCTCTCTGGTTGTAGCCCTCTGGTTGTAGCCTCTGGTTGTGGCTCTCTGGTTAGCCTCTGGTTGTGGCCTCTGGTTGTAGCTCTCTGGTTGCCAGCCTCTGGTTGTGCCTCCTGGTTGTAGCCTCTGGTTGTGGCTCTCTGGTTGTAGCTCTCTGGTTGTGGCTCTCTGGTTGTGGCCTCTGGTTGTAGCTCTCTGGTTAGCTCTCTGGCTGTAGCTCTCTGGTTGTAGCCTCTGGTTGTAGCCTCTGGCCTTAGCTCTCTGGTTGTAGCCTCTGGTTGTAGCTCTTGGCTGTAGCCCTGGCTGTGGCCTCTGGTTGCAGCCTCTGGTTGTGGCCTCTGGTGTGGCTCTCTGGCTGTAGCCCCTGGCTGTAGCTCTCTGGCTGTGGCTCTCTGGTTGTAGCCTCTGGTTGTGGCCTCTGGTTGCAGCTCTCTGGTTGTGGCCTCTGGATGGGCTCTCTGGTTGTGGCTCTCTGGTTGTGGCTCTCTGGTTGTGGCTCTCCTGGTTGTGGCCTCTGTTGTGGCTCTCTGGTTGGAGCCCTCTGGTTGTAGCTCTCTGGTTGTAGCTCCTGGCTGTAGCTCCCCTGGCTGTAGCTCTCTGGTTGTAGCCTCTGGTTGCGGCTCTCTGGTTGTAGCCCTCTGGTTGTAGCCTCTGGTGTGGCTCTCTGGTTGTAGCCCTGGTTGTGGCCTCTCTGGCTGTGGCCCTCTGTTTGTAGCCTCTGGTTGTAGCTCTCTGGTTGTAGCCTCTGGTTGTAGCCTCTGGTTGCCTATCTCTCTGGTTGTAGCCTCTGGTTGTAGCCTCTGGTTGTAGCCTCTGGTTGCTCTCTGGTTGTGGCTCTGGTTGCTTAGCTCTCTGGTTGTGGCTCTCTGTTGGCGCTCTCGTTGTAGCTCTCTGGTTGTAGCTCTGGTTGTAGCTCTCTGGTGCTAGCCTCTGGTTGCAGCCTCTGGTTGTAGCCTCTCTGGTTGTAGCTCTCTGGTTGTAGCTCTCTGGCTGTGGCTCTCTAGGTTGTAGCCTCTGGTTTAGCAGCTCTGGTTGTAGCTCTCTGGTTGTAGCCTCTCTGGTTGTAGCTCTCTGGTTGCGGCTCTCTGGTTGTAGCTCTCTGGTTGTAGCCTCTGGTTGTGGCTCTCCTGGTTGTAGCCTCTGGTTGTGGCTCTCTGGTTGTGGCTCTCTGGTTGTAGCTCTCTCTGGTTGTAGCTCTGGTTGTAGCCTCTGGTTGCAGCCTCTAGTTGTGGCTCTCTGGTTGTAGCTCTCTAGTTTGTAGCCTCTGGTTGTAGCCTCTGGTTGTAGCTCTCTGGTTGTAGCTCTCTGGTTGTAGCCTCTGGTTACAGCCAGCTCTCTGGTTGTGGCTCTCTGTTGTAGCCTCTGGTTGCAGCTCTCTGTTTGTAGCTCTCTGGTTGTAGCTCTCGTTTGTGGCTCTGGTTGTAGCTCTCTGGTTGTAGCTCTCTGGTTGTGATCTTTTATCTCTCTAGAAAAGACTTGATTATCTCTGTGTTATCATGAAAATAGGATTAAAACCGAATCATCTAATATATCACATTTCGTTATCTTTTAATCAGAATTTGGAACGGCTTAGTGTGATATCTTTAGTGTGATATCTTGGCCTTGAGTGTGATATCTTGGCCTTGTGTGATATCATGCCCTAGTGTGATATCTGCCTATTGCCATGATATCTTCTACCCTAGTGTGATATCATGCCCTAGTGTGATATCTTGGCCCTAGTGGATATCTTGGCCCTAGTGTGATATCTTGGCTAAGTGACGATATCATGCTAGTGTGATATCTTGCCCCTTGTGTGATATCTTGGCCTTAGTGTGATATCTTGGCCTAGTGTGATATCTTGCTCCATGTGTGATATCTTGCTAGTGTGATATTTGCCCTAGTGTGATATCTTGGCCCTAGTGTGAATATCTTGCCCTAGTGTGACATCTTGCCCTAGTTGGTATCTAGCCTAGTGTGATATCTTGCCCTCAGTGTGATATCTTGCCCCTAGTTGTGATATCTTCGTTGGCAATCCTAGTGTGATATCTTGGCCCTGGTGCTCTCACCCTAGTGTGATATCTGTCTGAATCTTTTCTGGCCCCAGTGTGACATCTTGCCCTAGTGTGATATCCCCATCTCTAGTGTGACATCTTGCCCCTAGTGGGATATCTTGGCCCCAGTGTGATATCTTGGCTCAGTGGCGATATCTGCCCAGTCTGATCTGCCTAGTGCCCCTAGTGTATCTCTTGGCCTAGTGTGATATCTTGGCCTAGTGTGATATCTTGCAGCACGTGATATCTTGCCCTAGTGTGCGTATCTGGCCCAATGACTAGCGATATCTTGCCCTTGTGATATCTTGGCCTAGTGATAACATTCTAGTGTGATATCTCCCCAGGTGACATCGCCCATCGCCCAGGACATCTGCCCAGACTTGCCCTGGTGTGATATCTTGCCCTAGTGTGATATCTTGGCCCTAGTGTGATATCTTGGCTAGTGTGATATCTTGCCCTAGTGTGATATCTTGGCCCTAGTGTGATATCTTGGCCTAGTGTGATATCTTGCCCTAGTGGCGATATCTTGGCCTAATGTGATATCTTGCTAGTGTGATATCTTGGCCCTAGGCATTATCTTGGCCTGAGTGTGATATCTTGCCCTAGTGTGATATCCCTAGTGTGATATCTTGCCTAGTGTGATATCTTGCCCTAGTGTGATATCTTGCCCAGCGATATCTGCCTGTGATATCTTGGCCTAGTGTGAAATTCTTGGCCTAGTGTGATATCTTGGCCTAGTGTGATATCTTTAGTGTGATATCTTGCCCTAATTGTGATATCTTGCCCTAGTGTGATATCTTGCCCTAGTGTTATCTTGGCCTAGTGTGATAACTTGCTAGTGTGATATCTTGATCCCCTAGTGTGATATCTTGCCCTAATTGTGATATCTGGCCTAGTGTGATATCTTTTAGTGTGATATCTTGGCCTAGTGACATCTCCTAGTGTGATATCTTGGCCCCTAGTGTGATAACACTGGTGTGATATCTTGGCCTAGTGTGATATCTTGCCCTAGTGTGATATCTTCCTAGTGTGATATCTTGGCCCTAGTGTGATATCTTGCCCTAGTGTGACATCGCCCTGTGCAATCTTGGCCCTAGTGTGATATCTTTGCCCTAGTGTGATATCTTGGCCTAGTGTGATATCTTGCCCCTAGTGTGATATCTGGCCCTAGTGTGATATCTTGGCCCTAGTGTGATATCTTGCCCTAGTGTGATATCTTGGCCTAGTGTGATATCTTTGGCTAGTGTGATATCTTGGCTAGTGTGATATCTTGGCCTAGTGTGATATCTTTCCTAGATATCTTCTGGTGATATCGCTAGTGTGATATCTTGGCCTGGTGATATCTTGCCCTAGTGTGATATCTTGGCTAGTGTGATATCTTGCCCTAGTGGATATGCCTAGTGTATATCTTGGCCTAGTGTGTGATATCTTGGCCTAGTGTGATATCTTGGCCCTAGTGTGATATCTTTGGCCCCTAGTGTGATATCTTGGCCTAGTGTGATATCTGGCCTAGTGTGATATCTTGCCCTAGTGTGATATCTTGGCCTAGTGTGATATCTTGCCCCTAGTGTGATATCTTGCCCTAGTGTGATATCTTTCCCTGGTGTGATATGCCCTAGTGTGATATCTTGCTAGTGTGATATCTTGGCTAGTGTGATATCTTGCCCTAGTGTGATATCTTGGCTAGTGTGATATCTTGGCCTAGTGTGATATCTTGGCCTAGTGTGATATCTTGCCCTAGTGTGATATCTTGGCCTAGTGTGATATCTTGCCCTAGTGTGATATCTCTTGGCCTAGTGTGATATCTTCCTAGTGTGATATCTTGCCCTAGTGTGATATCTTGGCCTCGATGGATATCTTGCCCTAGTGTGATATCTTGCCCTAGTGTGATATCTTGCCCTAGTGTGATATCTGGCTAGTGTGATATCTTGGCCTAGTGTGATATCTTGGCCTAGTTGATATCTTGCCCTAGTGTATCTTGGCCTAGTGTGATATCTTGGCCCTAGTGTGATATCTTGCCCTAGTGTGATATCTTGGCCCTAGGTGTGATATCTTGGCCTAGTGTGATATCTTGCCCTAGTGTGATATCTTGCTAGTGTGATATCTTGCCCTAGTGTGATATCTTGGCCTAGTGTGATATCTTGGCCTAGTGTGATATCTTGGCCTAGTGTGATATCTTGCCCTAGTGTGATATCTTGGCCTAGTGTGATATCTTGGCCTAGTGTGATATCTTGCCCTAGTGTGATATCTTGGCCCTAGTGTGATATCTTGGCCCTAGTGTGATATCTTGGCCTAGTGTGATATCTTGGCCTAGTGTATATCTTGGCCTAGTGTGATATCTTGGCCTAGTGTGATATCTTGGCCTAGTGTGATATCTTGCCCTAGTGTGTCTTTGCCCTAGTGTGATATCTTGGCCTAGTGTGATATCTTGGCCTAGTGTGATATCTTGGCCTAGTGTGATATCTTGGCCTAGTGTGATATCTTGGCCCTAGTGTGATATCTTGGCCTAGTGTGATATCTTGGCCTAGTGTGATATCTTGGCCCTAGTGTGATATCTTGGCCCTAGTGTGATATCTTGGCTAGTGTGATATCTTGGCCTAGTGTGATATCTTGGCCTAGTGTGATATCTTGGCCTAGTGTGATATCTTGGCCTAGTGTGATATCTTGGCCTAGTGTCTTGGCCTTAGTGTGATATCTTGCCCTAGTGTGATATCTTGGCCTAGTGTGATATCTTGGCCTAGTGTGATATCTTGGCCTTAGTGTGATATCTTGCCCTAGTGTGATATCTTGGCCTAGTGTGATATCTTGCCCTAGTGTGATATCTTGCTAGTGTGATATCTTGCCCTAGTGTGATATCTTGGCCTAGTGTGATATCTTGGCCTAGTGTGATATCTTGGCCTGTGATATCTTGCTAGTGTAATATCTGGCCCTAGTGTGATATCTTGGCCTTAGTGTGATATCTTGCTAGTGTGATATCTTGGCCTGTGATATCTTGCCTAGTGTGATATCTTGGCCCTAGTGTGATATCTTGGCTAGTGTGATATCTTGGCCCTAGTGTGATATCTTGGCCTAGTGTGATATCTTGGCCTAGTGTGATATCTTGCCCTAGTGTGATATCTTCCCTAGTGTGATATCTTGGCCTAGTGTGATATCTTGGCCTAGTGATATCTTGGCCATTGCCCTAGTGTGATATCTTTCCCTAGTGATATCTTGGCCTAGTGTGATATCTTTCCAAGTGTGATATCTTGGCCCGAGTGTGATATCTTGGCCCTGTGTGATATCTTGCCCCAGTGTGATATCTGCCTAGTGTGATATCTTGCCCTAGTGTGATATCTTGCCCTAATGTGATATCTTGGCCTAAGTGTGATATCTTGGCCTAGTGTGATATCTTGGCCCCTAGTGTGATATCTTGCCCTAGTGTGATATCTTGCCCTAGTGTGATATCGCCAGGTGTGATATCTTGGCCTTAGTGTGATATCTTGCCCTGGTGATATCTTGGCTAGTATGTCCTTGGCCCTAGTGTGATATCTTGGCCTAGTATATCGGCCTTAGTGTGATATCTTGCCCCTAGTGTGATATTTTGGCTAGTGTGATATCTTGGCCCTATGTGATATCTTGGCCTAGTGTGATATCTTGGCCTAGTGTGATATCTTAGCCCTAGTGTGATATCTTGCCTAGTGTGATATCTCTAGTGTGATATCTTAGCCCTAGTGTGATATCTTGCCTAGTGTGATATCTTGGCCCTAGTGTGATATTTGGCCCTAGTGTGATATCTTGGCCTGTCTTCCTGTCTCTGTATCGTACGTAAACAGATAGAGCAGCGGCTGATGTGTTATCTTAGGTTATCTTATAGCTGTCAAAGTCGTACACATGTGATAGCCAACATAATGGTTATCTTAGTGTGTTTGTTGATCTGAAATAGTGAGCCAGTAATGTGAAGATGTAGTTACGTGTGTGTGTGTGTGTGTGTGGTGTGTGTGTGTGTGTGTGTGTGTGTGTGTGTGTGTGTGTGTGTGTAGTGTGAGGTGTGTGTGTGTGGTGTGTACTGTGTGTGTGTGTGTAGTGTGTGTGTGTGTGTGGTGTGTGTGTGTGTGTGTGTGTGTGTGTGTGTGTGTGTGTGTGTGTGTGTAGTGTGTGTGTGTGTGTGTGTGTGTGTGTGTGTGTGTGTGTGTGTGTGTGTGTGTGTGTGTGTGTGTGTGTGTGTGTGTGGTGTGTGTGTGTGTGTGGTGTGTGTGGTGTGTGTGTGTGTGTGTGTGTAGTGTGTGTGTAGTTCATGACACGTACAGTATATAAACAAGGTATTTAATGTATACATAAAAAAATGTTGGTGTACATACCCCTCACTTACCCCACCCCTCACCCACCTCACCCACCCCACCCCCCCCCACCCCCTCACCCCACCCCCACCTCACCCACCCCCACCTCACCCCACACCCTCACCCCACCCCACCCCTGA